ATTGTGTAAGAAATAGATATTTTTGTGATAGTTTATAAAAGACGAAAAATCGTAATGCGAACTAGTCAGCTTGAGACTGTTGAAATAGCCTACGTTTATGATAATGTGACTTTTATCACCCTTTTTGTGTGAGATGAGCTTTTATTTTGACATTTTTGCTTACGGTGCAATGCACGTTGCTAACTCATCTAAACCAATACAACTGTCACAGAACTGAAGCGTGGCATATTTCTTCTTGTATACATGAAAAAACCAGCATAATATCTTATATCATCAGTCACTTATATCAACAAATGACGTAAGGAAAAAACTGAGTACATTTTTGATTACAGTGTTTACGCACCAGTCTTTTAAGTACAGTAATATTGATATTGGGTTGTTTAGGCTTTGTTTTTATTGGAATTCACCAGCATGGTTTATGTGTGACCTCAAAGAAACTAGTAACTCTTCATGAAGTCGAACGGGCATCACCTAGTGCTACAGTCAGAGACACTGGTTACCAATTAAAGTACGGTTACGCTTTTGATAAAATTACTATATACAGAGATATTACAGATTGATAGGATTAAATCATTCTTTTTCCTTATGTTTCGTCATCACTATTCCTCATTTCTTATGCTTTCAGAAATAATTATTACAATATTATTGATTAATAAGATATAAACTGCAGTAACCCCATTCATAAGAATATGCACTATATAATTATCAGCACTAAATGATGTAAATAATTTGCTACTTGTGCAATAGTTTCAGGTATAATATTAACTGCTGGTGAAAAAGTGTTTGAGTGAGTCTAAATATATAAACAGTTTTTGCTGCAGTAATGTCAAATTTTTAATTCATTTAATGAGTTATTCTTTCTTTTCACAACGTATGATCCGAATAACGTCGGTCTGACTTCTGTAATCACATTTTTTTGACGATAAAGTTTTACACATTTCTTTTCTGCCTTACATAAAGACAAATGAGATGAAAGCTGAACAAGATATGCGTTCGGTGATGCGCCAAGTCTCTGAAACATATAGAGTTAGTGATCTGACATGAGTGTTGAAAATTCGAATCTTGTTCCATGCACTCAGTGCAGCAGAATTCCATACTGATTTCAGATTAGTGAAGGCATATCTTACTTTTTCAGTTCTGTCTTTTAGATCCTTTCTCGTGCTGCCTGTAGATGAAACAACGCTACCTTTAGATTTCTCCCATTGACGGTAAGTGGTGCTTGTTGTTGTTGGTTAGGTATCTTGATCACCTCCGTCTTCTCTATGTTCACTTGAAGTTCTATTTTCACTGACAGTCTCTTTTGTCAACTTATTGTTTTCCGACTATAGGTCTTCGAATTTGTGTGACACTAGACACAAATCCTTCGTGAATTCTAGATTTTCCACTTTCTTCTTGTTAGTCTGCTCGTTTTCTCACTCCTGCTATCTTTTGCATGTTCCAGTTCACCATAATCAAAGATATCATCGTTTATAGAAGGCAGGCTTGTCTTACTCCTGTCCTCTCTACAAATGCTTCGCTGAATTTTCCATTGTGAATCATTTGACATGTGGCATCATTATATAGCTTTTAGGTGCGGTTGATAAAAGTCAGAGATGCTGTAGTGTTTGCTTTACAGATGATAACAGCAGAATGCCAACGTTTAATTAACTTGAAGAACGACACTGCCATGGTGGAGCGCGAATCATAGCCTTCTAAATTTGACTAAATTAATGCAGTGAAAACTTCTCCTACCACCTTTAGGTACGCAGAACTTCAGTCTCAAAATTGAACTAAGCTTTTGTCAGTGTGCTGGTACTGCATTCATGGCATTTTGTCAAATTTTGTCTATTCAAGAAGCTTAAATGCCACAAGTGTCACCATTTTGGCTATAAAGAGAGTTACTGTTCACCACAGGAAGACTCTTCTATGAGGAACAGGCATAGTTTCTTCAAGGGGAAGCAACACCATGAGATACAGACCGTTTTCACAACGTCCAAAGTCGCTTTTCGCCATCAGACGAAAGTATGCTACGCTGTTTATTAACAATAAATTTATTCGGTTTCATTTGGATACAGAGTCAGACATCACTTTAATTTCCCACAACACGTAGCGCGTACTTAGGTACACGTAGATTCTTCCTATAGGACATATCACTAAGCATGCTTCTGGAGATGTGCTAAAACTCATGGGTGAGGTCAACTGACATTTTCAGTTCTGTCGTGTATATTATCTCGTAAACCAGTATGATTTGGATCTACTTGGTCTTACCTGGATAGATAATTTAAGTTTCTTAAATGTTCTATAAAATTTGGTATGTTTTAACGTGTTGCCTTCATCAAATTATTTAATTTCAAATCATGCATCATGTAAATCTCTGTTGCAACACTTTAGCCAATATCATAACCCAGTTTTCCGGGAAAGCCTTGGCTATCACAAGTTTAGGCGAATCGCTTCGCCTCTGAAGCAGAACGTTTAGCCAATTGTCCATCCTAAACGTCTAGTTATTACTCAGCCTCAGTCCTATGAAAATAGTGGGCGCCTCGTCAACGCCTCTAAGAGTGCTTTCATGGGGGTGGAAGGGAGGGGAAAATCAGAGAAATCTCGGATAGAATTTCGCTGCTTTATTATACAGCACGAAACACTTCTTCCTCAAATAAGTTATATTCATTAGGAATTATTTTCGGTCATAAAACCGAAACTTTTCCAAACAGATCCAAAAAGAAAGTTTCACACTTTCTGCACTGGGAGGTGATAGGGATCAGTTTGAAATAGAAATCACTTTATGATTCATCATGTGATCGGACGAATGTGAAACCTTGTAGCGGTAGTTAGTACCTCGTTCATCGCTGAACATTGGATGCTGACCCTCACTGTTTAAGTCGACTTGTTTAGCTGAAGGCTCAGGGTCAAGCATCATCGTTATTTTGCACACCTCCATGTTATATTCGTATCACCTATTAGAATTTTGACGTCACCGTTTGCGGTCTTGTCCACTGCTGTTTGTAGTTGTCAGTAGAAGTCTACCTCCTCTTATTCCACTTTGTTCTCAGGAAAATGATAACTTTCCTACCTCTTAAGTTTAATCTGGCTATCAGTATTCTGAAGGAAATAGGTTCCCACTGTATAGGAGCTTTCGATGTTGTTGGTAATATCATTATAACTACTCCCTTATTGTGTTCGGATGACCGGAGTAGATTATTAACTCTCCAATTAAAAATTTGGAGTGTCCACTTCTAATCCATGTTCTCTCACAAACTCCTGGCGTTTTCATGCCATATCTTTTCATTGCTTCTTGAATCAAAGCAGACTTCTCAGGTCCAAAGACTATGCGGATATTCCATATCACCACTCTTATTTCTGCTTATATCGAAAGAAGTCACGTGGGCTGACTGGTTTTCTGAAGGCTTTCACCAGTCCGCGTCATTTAGTGTCTCCGATGCCAACGAAGAATAAGTTTGTTTTATATTTTTTTCTGTTCGCTGAATTTTCTGTAGCGGTTGGATTGATTTCCCGGATTAGGGTCGCCAGTACCACACCGGACCTTTCCTCTCTGCAGTTTTGGCAAACTATGAGTGGGTGATCTTCTAATTATGCAGGCAAATAACCACAATTATTACTCAAGCACCAACTTAGCACTGTGTGACTACGAAGAAGTAATCAGTACAAGGTAACATGATACATTATAAGGGGAAAAATAAAAGTGAAGATACTTAGGGAATAAAAAGAGGTGCACTCACTCATTTCCTTAAATCGTATTCGTAGAACAGTGAGTTACTACGAATTTTCTATCAACAAAAGAAACAAAGTGAATTATGTGTAATAAAGTCGCAGGCTGCGTATTCCCACGGTTTGTTAGACTCCACTTGGGAAGTCACGATGCTCTAAAAGATGATGACAATACACCCCTATCCTTTGTTTAAGTGTTACATCCTTGTTCGGATGCTTTGCCACTCCTTTTAATTAATTTCACGGCAAGCATACAGATGACAAAGCAAAAAATCACTGCGAATATATTCGTGGCACACTCGCAAGGTTCCAAATATTATTAAAAGATGCACTTCACTGGAAAATGTATTGTATTTGGGCGATACATTTCGAACAGTATGATCACACATCTACTTGTCCATTCAGTATGTTTTTATTTACACTGACCTTCAATTTCTTGGTTTTCACGCAAATTAGAACTACAGGTACATGTGTGATGAGTGATAGAAATACAGCAGGCGAATGTATTACGCCTTCCACATATATTTCGTCATTTAATGACGTTATCCTGACTTGTATTAAAGCAATTTGTTACTTATTTCCTACTAACAAGTTGTAACCATAACGCATAGTCGGCATTTTGGGAGAGTTGTTATCTGAAGGTTTATTGATCTGCGACCGTTGAATTCTGTTAGCTGAGACTTTGACATCAATATGTGTGCTGTCTTCAGTGCTACTTCATGAAACTTACAAATCCTGATTTGCAGATATATATCACTACATTGGGGTTAAATCATTCAATAAATGAGTGAACAAGAGGTTCAGTCTTTTTAGTTAGTCATAACCACATAATATGGGTTTAAGGTCTTTTTATTCAGCATTAGGCAGTCATTTTGTGCTCGAAGCCTTAGGTTATTTTAATAAAAGAAATGAATTATCTTGTAATGTACGAAATAACTTAATTTTTTTCGAAAAAACAAGATGAAGGAGACGATCAACTTAGAACTAAATACTTTTTAATTGTTCCGCATCATATATTGTGAAAGGAAAACGAAAATAAAAATGTCTAAAACTGAAAATAATGATACACTGAATACATTAATTGATGCTGTTATTTAAAATATTTAGTACATTCCGAACAAGGACCAATCAATGAACAAGAAAACGTTCTAGGTTAAAGTGAAGACAGAATAATTCGAAGATACAACAGAAATAATAATTTGTCTACATCAGTTGCAAAATGGACAGATTGGCTGAATCATACACATCTAAAAGTAAGCATACAACCGCAAACTTTTGAGAAAATAATTTACAGTCTATAAGAATTTTCTCAGACCATGCATAGTTCTCAACAGTTCTACAAAGTTTCCTGATTTCCTTACCGAATACCGTTCTTTTTCATTGACATCTAACAACTGACGCACTTTACAACTATGTATATGTGGTGTGAAGTATAAACCATTTGGTATAAATTTCAAATGTAATTGAAAACTCCCATGATTTTCTAAAAGATGTTGGAAATCCTCTTCATCAGACGTGCGTTTTTGAGATTTCAAATTTTCTAAAAGAGTGTCGTATGTCATTGAACTGGTACTATCAGGAAGATCAGGAGGTTTGAATGTTTGTCCAATTTCATTCGAATCGAAAGATGCCCAGGATGTAGCTTGAATATGAGAAATTGAGTCAGGATAAACATCTGGTACATTTAGTTCCTCTAATCTTATTGTGCCATTACTATGAATAGAATGAATTGATTTACGTGCGGGATGGACTAGATTTAACGATGGTCGACTGGCCTTGTTATCCACTGAAAAAGTTGGACATTCGCTAACTAGTGGGACTGAATCTCGTTTGTCTACTTTCACAGAATTACCGAAAATTAATGATGGTTTCCTTTCACTAGGTTTATTATCACCCGGCGATAGTGCAAATGATTTTGCACTTCTGTTATACATTGACGATTCTTTCCTCATTGCACGTCTTGCTGTTAATTCAGCTGCTGCAAATTCTACTGGGCAGTTCATCAGTAGTTTAGATTCTAATGACTCAACCGTAGTCGCACAAACAGATTCAATGTTTTCTTTACTTAGAGTTTCCAATTTCGGTCGACATTTGCGAAAGTCGGAATAAGATGAAGGCCGCAATGTACTTACTTTCCCAGGTGTTTTCACCTTTACCACCTTAGATTCAACGCTATCATTCTGGTGTCCACCATCAAGATTTTCATATGCGTCACTATCGGCAAGTGTGAGTGAATAATTAACTGGCAAATATTCCTGGTCTTCTTGCTCTTTAAATGACTCCTCCGGAATGGCATTTGACGAAGACATCTGTTGGTAATAGTAGTAATTGTAGTTTGGACTATTTTTAATTAATTCTTTCGTTTTTTTTAAATGTTTGCTCGGACTATTTTGAGTACATAATAGTTTCATAGGATAATTCTCCACATTTTCATTGAATAATTCAGAAGTAGATGTAATCTTTATAAACAATAAGAAATCGCCATCCAGATTCCTTGAAGCATAACTTTGCGGAGTTCCACTGTAACTAATAGAACATTGGAAGCTCTGGTATGCACAGCCGGACAATAATGAATAAGACTTGGAAAGATATAACGTTGAGGAACAATTATTCTTAAATCGTTCTAAGTAGTTTTGTTCAGTTGACAAGTTGTACAGATTAGTTATAGGATATCTCAAATACAGGTAGTCTCTGTAAATATTATTTCCGCGCCTGCTGGAGCAGTTATTCAGCTTCCCACCAGCCACAGTTGCCGCCTTCATTTTGTTGTAAGAATTCTCATCATTATCTTGAGATAAGCTAAATTCATCAGTCTCTTCGATAGTTGTATTCGTCTCCCATTCTTCTAATGAATACAATGTTTCGCGGTTCATATTACTAAAATACAAAGTCTTAAGATAATGACACGTTTCGTCGGCTGAATTAACCATCCTTCTTATTGAAGGTAATGACAAGCATCGACTCAAAGGATTTATCCTGGTACGTAGAGAGGAATTTGAAAGGTCATCAGTCCTGAGCATGTTGCAGTCCTTATCGTCAAACTCCATGTTTATTATTCTTTCACTATTTAACGTAATCCTACTAAATAATGAGTCAAAGACATGCTTCAGCGATAACAAGATCTGATATGACTGATTCCTATGAGTCGACTTTAAATTTGATTGAATACTTGGAAAATAGTATAGAATATCTAGTTCATACGAGTTAAACAAGTCTGTCGAGTTTAATTGTCTATAATCGAAACATGGTATTTGTGATATAGCAGTATAATACTCTGAAGCATCACTACCATCATCATCGCTTCCACTACACGTATAATCCCCATAATAGTTAATTTTCGGGGTCTTGGTTATCTGTGTACTCAATGAGCTATTTTCATAGTACAGCACTGAATCATCGATTGGCATAAAGTCAGCTGACGTTGTTGGTGTTAAAGTAGTTGACGAATTACTATTAATCGGTAGATGACAGACACCAGCTTCATATACTTCTGGTAAACAACTGATAATATAGGAAAACAGATAACACCATGTGTCAATTATATAATATCCATGGTGGTTACAATCCTCAACTATACTTGGATAAATTTTTCTACCCATCTGGATGTTTATACATTTCTATATATGATAAAAAACAAATACTAAGATACTGAGAATGATTTAATCTCAACTCTTTATTTTGCTATTTTCATAGCTTTCAAACTGAAGGCAGCAAAATAACAACAATCAGTCAGCCTAATTCCTCGGATTATTAGTCTTATTAATATTTTGAACAGGCAGTATTGATCTAATCATATGATTAGATCGAACCTTTTACTCACACTATCTCTTTGATAAATATAGCTCAGAATAGCAGTGAAATGAAGTAGTAAGACAAATATTATTCAACATAAACACCGGAAAATATAAACAGATTTATTAACCTATAACTACTACAATGGCTTGTCAACACTTTCCACTAATAATCTATGCGGCACAATGTTAGATCAGTATGCTGCAAATTCAAGTAGGCATGAAGTTCATTTCTATGTTTCCAGCTAGAGTTCGATTAAAACACCTGTAGGATACTTGTTATCAGTCTAAAAACAAGTCTAATTTGATCCTGTGTACTGAAATAAATGCCTACTTTGAATACCTGAACATTTACACATAATCGGCTCGTGATGATATTAAGCCAGTGAAGGCTGGGCACGAAATTTTCGAAAAACAGCCTGCACTTCCGACAATCTAGTTTATTTAAGTACACTACTACTATCTGACAGTTAGAATAAATCAGATGACCAACTGTTGACAGTATTTTATTTTAAAATAGGAGTACAGTGGATTGATTACACCTTATGAATTAGAGCCTATTGACAGGTTTAAAATGTTTCTTTTTGCTCTTACATAAAGCAATGATAATGATAACAATAATAAATAGCAATAATGATAACCATTCAAGAAAAGTGTTCTAACATCCATGAAAAAGTCAAATGATTTCTAAAAACATACACATTAGAACAGAAGAGACGCTGACTTGTGTTTGAAAATTAGATAAATAAAAGAAATGAAAAATGACAAATAAGAGACAATATAAAAATTTTCAAAAAGTAGTTGAGGAAATATAAAATACTCAAGTCAGTCAAAAGAAAATTAAAAATAAAATAAATATGCGAATGAAGATTATATATACATATATATAAACGTTTGATATTTTATATACATTTCACTTATACACAACAAATCAAGAGAAGGATTGAAAATAATGAGTGGGAAAATTTGTACACAGTAAGAAATAAAAACATAAAACATATGCAAATAAATTAAAATTAAAGATTTCATGTGCGTTACTAATTTAGAGATTAAATAAAAGTTGTGATAGAAATTTACTTAACGAGATTTCACAACACACAAGAAATGTTTATAGCTTAAAATATATTATTTTTCCAAAGAAATAATCCCATTAAACTACCGTCCCAGCAAGTGAACGAGCACGCAGAATAAAAAACTGAGCAATACCTAAAGGATTAGGGTGAACTGTATCTGTTGAATTTAAACGAGAGGTAATGTAGCCTTGTGTAAGCGATCCATTTACTAAAGAAGACCTGGATGATGAAGAAGTGGACAAGTTATTAGCCCGGTGGTTATGTTCAGTGTTATTTCGATTTAATGATACATTGGTTGCTGCAGACGGCGAATTCACATCTTCATCTGGTTTAATATCATCTGAACCAGTAAGACCACCAAAAAGAAATAGACAGTCGTGTCCGAATGTACATGAATATCCTAAGCACTCTGGAGGAGCGAAATAAAGATCCAAATAATTCTGTTTAAGGGGAACCAGCCAAACACCTTTTGCTGTACATCCATTATTGTTAAATTTGCCTTTAGAATCAATTGAATTATCTGTGTAGCGGCAGGTAATACTAAGTGAATAAACAGCTAGAGGATGAGAAGTACTATTCGATTTCATAGAATCTGAAGTACACGGGTTATGACTGGATGCGACATGGTTTGATGGGTGTGATCGACTGGAATGAATATTATTTTCACCTGATGAATATGGATTACGTGATCCAAAGAGTTTTCGCTCTTGATTAGCTAAGGCTTCTAGTCTTCGAGCACGTCTGTTACTTGAACGCCTGGATGATGGAAGACTAAGCAATCGATCAGAATGAAATACCTGAGCTATAATGAAAAATAAGAGAATCTGAGATAAATTATTTTTAATATTGCTGTAACATTTCCTAATAAAAAGCTAGTCAGAAAATAAGTAAAAAATATATCTTACACAAGTCACTTACGCACGCGATTGGTAATGTTCTGTTAATCCATTACACATTGCTCGAAACGTAAACAGTAAGTCAACAATACTATTTTATCAAATAAAATTATTCTATAAAACAATTTTATTCTACCACAGTTCTTCACTTTACTTTTTCCAGTTAAATAGGTTTAATACTTCTTTGAAGTGTGTCCCCGCGATTTCTAAGTGGCATTAATTTTAGGCACACAACTTACTTAGCCCCTAACAAAAAAGTAACACACTTCTCAAAAAATCTATATACGAAATGTTATTATTCTAGCAAATTTCAGCAAACCACTTGTGGTTTGCTGATTTGATTAGTTTCCAGGTAGATTTCGTCAAGAACCAAAATCACATAAAAAACCACTAGATACCAGGAAGCAGTGGACAGTAATTCGACATAGTTTCAAACTCTGGCTGCACGCGCTTATGACTTCACCACAGATTGCGCCCAGGACCTTCAGGTTACGATATCAGCACATTACCATTCAGCCTCCACGTCGATATCCAATGGCCGGTTAACGATATGTAGCGCACTGGACCGTTTCCTGCTACTCTGTGCAGACTACAGCCTATTTGAACAAAAAAGAACAAATAGTGATGCAGAATAACATGGGTCCATTGTGTTTTGTCGGCTTTCTTCAACTGCTTACAAACTGTAGCAATTAATAAAACAAGTTCTAATGCAATGTTAACATTCTTTAGTTTATTAACAGGAATATGTCCTTCAGTAAGGATTGTTGTAAAAACGTATTTTTAGCTAGCCCCAACATTGGTACTGTTAACACTTATGTTACCTGACGTTTTCTCTTTTCCACTCTTAACTGAATTCGAATAAGTCATGTTGACACAGGCTATTGGCAGTGTGTGCGCATGTGAGTTACTTCTTTAGGAGCATTTTCTGGAACCTGATTATGCTTATTGTGTGACAGATTACATCGCCACAAAGTGTTGAAGTTAGCCGGACGATTCCACTACTGGTGACAAATATCAAACCCACCTAAATCCAAGTAGCTATTTATTTTCAGAAAGATATAGATGAACACTGACTGTAATTGTTATGTGTAATGGAGACACATTAGAACACCTTCTGTCAGTGAATTTAACCACCGACATCATGGAGTCTTGGAATTACAGTCAACGTTTACTTAAGCTCTATGTAAGTGTAGAACATGAGCACTGAGGCAGAATATAATTCCATATTAAAACAGTTTAAATATCATATTTAAAATAAACTTAACTAATATTGATTCGCCTATGCTTCTTGGAGGATCAATAGCTGACCTCGAATTTAGCTTGACTCATTTTTCAAGAGTACAAATAAAATTTTATGAAGAACAGCTACTTTTCAATCTTTTAGTGTAAATATCTGTCACTGCGCTGCAGTTAAGTTAGTAGGATTATTTGCAGAAATCATGTGTTAGTAGTTATCATTATTCGCTTACTTTCTGAGTGGAACAAAGGCCTCAACCACACATCTCCATTCCACTCTGCCTGCTGAAGTCCCCCACGATTGCCTATAAGTCCTCATCTCCTCCCCACACGACCTCCTACATGTCAACCCCCTCTTCCTATTCCGGTTCCGCTAGAGGGCCTGGCCCACGATATCCTTCAATGATCTCCTCAGTGTGTTCGGTCTATCCTTAATTCCTTCTGCATATCTACTGAGAGATGTGTTTTTGGTTGATTTGTCTCCAGAATCAAACACTGCTAATTCTCTCCAGATATCTGATCTTTAGTATGAAACCAGAGAAGGTGGATGTTGATAAAAGTCCGAAGTTTACTGAAAATGTTTTCGGTAACACGTCAAGTATCTGGCCCATGCAGAACTCAATTGACATTAGTGTTACGGATCTGAATCTTGTTCAGTATGCTGATTGCAGCACATTTCCACAGTGTCTTCAGATAAATAAAGGTCTGTCTTGCTCTGAATTTCCTGCTTTCACATCTTCGTTCGTGCCGCCTATAACTGAAACAAAGCTTCTGAGGTAAATGAAGGAAGTGAAGTCTTTCAAATTTCTTCTCCTGATACAGATTGAGGTTTGTTATTGTTGGTTATCTTCATCACCTCCATCTTCTCTATATTCACTCGAAGTCCTATCTTCCCTACAAGCCTCTTCTGCCAGTTTGTTGGTTTTCGCCGGCAGATCTTCGAATCTATCTGACATTACACATAAACCGTCCGCGAAACCCAGATCTCCCAGAGTCTTCTTACCTGTGCAACGTGTTCCTATCTTCCCGGTCCCTACTGGTGACAGTAGTCAGCCTTGTCCTAGTCCTGTCTCCACTTCAAACATTTAGCCGAGTTTTCTATTGTGAATCTCTTGACATGTAGCTGTTGAATATGAATATAAAAAATGCAGTGGCATTTTTTTACACGTGTTGGAATTAAAGGGCAGAAACAGACACTTACGATTGACATCAGTCGAATGGCAAGGCTTCTGCAGTGGATCTTCTTTCCCATTACCATCATCTTCTGGCATACCAGAAATCTGATCAGTTGCGTTTTTTCGATAACTGGTACTGCTCAATTCAGAGTTCATTTTGATACGTTGCCAATATTTGCGTTGTTTAGCTGCTTCATCTAATAACGCTGCAGTAGGTTGACTGATGATAGCAACTGTAAACACATTTTCCATTCGATTGTCTGAATTATAGCTATTGGTTTGAATGGAATCACTATTTTCTGTTGACGCATATGGTTTATTTACTTCACGATAAGGAAGTGAGACTGCAGTTGCATGATAAAAGTCTATTGGTGGGCATCCAGGAATGCCTTGAGAACATTCAACTTTAGTCCAGAACCAATCCACTTCAAACCAATCTGGATGCAAAATAAAACAAATATTATTACACAAATGACATGATCAGATACACAAATGAAAATATGATCAATTACCAACAATTGATTTATATGCGAGTTAACTTTTACAAGACAATAAATGATACTG